CTCTCTTTCCTCCTCCTGCTCCATCAGTCTATCTGTCTCCCAGAAGAAACACCTCCAGTGTCATAACTCATTTGTCGATTCCTCAGTACAAATTAAACCGCGCCTGACGACTACCTGTACGGCAAATAACATAACTGCTGCTGGCAGCGGGACAACATCCACACCTCCATCAACCAAAAGCTCACGCACACACCGTGTAAAAAGCTACACTATGACATAAGCAGCACTTTTTAGGCTTTCAGAAAGCCGCGGCGGTCACTCGGCAGGACAGTGGACACGGACGCTGGCCACACACAGCTGCTGGCCAGGTTTTGGGTTTCTTTGCTCTTTGCAGAGAAAGTCAGCGCTTCATTTGCAGCTGAAGCCGAGGAGAATTTTTACCACATGCTGAGACAAGTTTCATTTTACTCCAGCACCCCTCCCCTGGGAAAAACAAAACACCAGATGAGCTTCTATTTTGTAAAGTTGAAAATCCAGCAAATCAAAGAAGCCTTGACACCTTTGTTCATCACCCCCACCCACCCACCCCCGATCAGTCACAAGCATGCTTCTGTAACAGGCTTCCTTTGACTGTCACTAAGGCTCAGTGTCGCGCCAAAGCCCAGGAACACGCAGACAAACGCAAAAAACATTTAAAAAAAATACCCCCAAACAGCATCTTAAAAATCCAGACACGTTAAATGCAAGTCAGTCGTGTTGCTTTTTTTTTTTTTTTTACTTTGGAGTCCTGCACCTTCTAAAAGTCAAATAAATACTCTTAAATATGTTCAAGCTGCTAGAATTAAATGTGCTCGTTCCACCCAGTGAGACACCTGAGATGGAAGCCAGAAGCTGTGAGCCTGACGCAGAGTTTAAATAAATCAAACTTTGTGTCTGCAACTGACACACACACACACACACACACACACACACACCACTGCTACGTATTATCAATCAGAACAATCTGAAAGAGCACACACACACAAACTCAAAATAAAGATCTTTTTTATTTTCTTTGTTTTTAAAGACCTTTTGTATTTGTGTGTGTGTGTGTGTGTGTGTGTGTGTGTGTGTGTGTGTGTGTGTGTGTGTGTGTGTGTGTGTGTGTGTGTGTGTGTGTTTTCCGTAGCCCTGCCAATAAAACAGTCCACTCCTAGCTGCTGCTGCTGGTAGATAAATTACAACTTTTGGAAAAACAATGAAACCAATGCTAATTGCTATGATTATCGTAATGATCAGTGCAGAAGAGGCATGCGTGAAGCAGATTGTTGATGTGTTTTGTTGCAGAAGTCAATATGAGACACCTTGTAATGACAGGTAAAGAACATAAACTGCCCCGAGCTGTTTTTACTACATTCAAGCACATGCCAATCACTGTCTTCTGGTTTTTTTTCTTTTTGAGAGAAAGGGAAACAGAAATTACAGGTGTGATTTGCTGGGGTTTGTTGTCGCGCTGATGTCAAAGCCAGGTATGGTCTCACAGGACGGCTCTCCATTGGTGGAATATCAATACGGCTGCTTTCTAGTGAGCGATCAGATGCAAGCTCCTTCTTTTCAGAGCTGTCAAAGTCCGAGTGACAGAGCTGGTTATGATTAGAGCAATTTTCAGGGCCCACCAGCTGGGCGCCACAAGTGAAACCATTCCACAAGGTCCCTTGTGAAGCGTTTGAACTGCCGCGATGAAGGAAAAAAAAGAAAGTCACAGAAGTATGTGGCTAAAAAGTAAAAATAAAAATAACTGAATCACTTCCTACGCCGGCTGGTTGCTTGTTATCACGAGTGTGCACGAGTTTCCAAACAAACGATCAGCTTCTGGTTGCGATATGTTGATGAGAAGAGAAGAGGATGAGGTTTTTAAAAAAAAGCACAATTTTATTAACTGAAATAAAGTTAAGGGAACACCTGAGATGATGTAGCGCTGCAGATGCTGTGGGCTTTAACTCAAATAAACAAAAAAACAAACAAACGGGCAAACATGGGGTCTGATGGGAATATTTGCACCACCCCAGATCTGAGCTAGGAAGCTCTGACTGAACGCACACCTCCTGAACGCACCGCAGAACCGGTATCAGCTGGTTGTGGACACATTTAAACATTCAGAGGAAGCTATTGAGTATCTGCACCTTACTTCTCATCTGTGGCATCGCTCCGTTCAAAGCAGAGGAAGCTGTCATCAGAATGAGCCGGAGTTTCTGCTCCACTCTCATCTTCTGACACTACAGGACCCAACGTAACCTTTGACCTCTGGCCTTTTTACTCACAATGCCATAAATCTGCAAGCCTTTAGCTGGATCTCCACCACAGAACAGAAAATACTTTAAAATCTAAGAAACAAATTTAAGTGTGATCTGAAACTAAAAGGAAAAAAAAAAGTATTTTGATAGAAAGATTTAAAGCAAAAAATCCCTCTTGGAATCAATAACATTAAATTAATTTTAGTAATATTTTAAATTCCTTACAACAAAGCATTTGTGCATCATGTTGAATCAGTGAGCCTAAAAGGAAACATTATCAGTAAGGAATTAATAAACCAGTTAATAAAAGTATGGTGAGACACAACAGAAAAATAAATCATGCTTGTTTTGGAGAGGTGAAAAACCATTTCACTTTTAACTTTACAAATCCATTTCTCTAACATCGATCCATTACGTCCTCATCAGAACGATTTCTCTCTCTGATCATGCGGACCAAAGAATGGCCCTGATTTATTAGAAATTAGTGTCACTGACATTTTCTCGCCCGTGGCGGATTTTTGTTTACAAGATCGACGACTGGAGACCAGACGGAGTGGTCAAAGGGAACATTTTTTGCGGTGAGAAAAGCCTGTGGGATGTTATCTTTGGGAACTTACACCGTGGGCTATGACTTATCTTAAGTTATTATGTTATTTTGCTCCCTTCTGTGTAGCCTAAGCATCAGATTCAATCTCAAACTCTCCCCCTCCCTCCTTCCAAATACAGCTCTGTCACTTTTTTTCTCCATCTTTGCTGTCTGAGGCACTCAAATGAGAAACTGTCAGGAGCCGTGATTTGTGCTAACTAGCTATCGATCGCTCCAGAACTGCATGCCTTGAGTCCACGCAGGGAGGGCTGAGAGGAGAGGAGAGGAGAGGAGAGGAGAGGAGAGGAGAGGAGAGGAGAGGAGAGGAGAGGAGAGGAGAGGAGAGGAGAGGAGAGGAGAGGAGAGGAGAGGACTCTTTAAATGCTGTCAGACTTTTATGATTTATTATGTTAAACATAAAATCTGTTTTTGATCACATAAGTTAAAAATGCAGCTGAGAGAAATTGTTTGACTCTATTATTGCATTTTTACAACTTAAAAATAAATTCATTTTTATGATTAGAAAAATGTTGACATTGAAATAGACACTAAATTAAATCCATATTTACTTTGTTTGTTGTTTGGAGGTAGAAGCAAATTAATTTAACGTCATGGGATCACTCTGCTGGACGCAGGAGTCAGCGCGATGCTCACCCCCGACACTAATCAGAACAAAGAGGCGCTCTGCAAACATTCATATGGCCATTTAAAAATCTGCATTGATGTGCTTCCTCACATTTAAAAAAAGAAAAAAGTTTTAATAAAAAAATAAAAAAATAAACTCAATATGAAGTTAAAACTATAACAGCTATATGATAATAATAATAATAATAATAATAATAATAATAATAATAATTATTATTATTATTATTATTGTTATTATTATTATTATTATTATTATTATTAAAGCCCACATATTTATTTTTAAATATATTCGATAACACATTCCTTTTAAACAGAATGATCACAAACTAAAAATGACTTGCTCAACATAAAAAATACCTCTGCACCTTTTTGTTAAGAAAAAGTTTAAAATAAAGTTTTAACATAAATAAAAAATACGTATTTGAATCCAGTTAGGTTTGATAATTATTTAAAAACTATTTAAAGTCATCATGATAATAATAAAAATCCAGCTAAAGTTTAATACCAAAGCAGGGTAATCTCAGCAAAGAGAGTTATCGCTGATATCTTGTCCCAGCCGATTTAAATTCAATCCCCTTTGACCGTCTCAGTTTTATCCCCTAATAATGACAAAAACAAACAAGTAATAATAACAAGGCTTGGGGGAACCCCGCTGCGCGAACGCATCTCCTCTGAAAGCTATTAATCTTCTGAATGCAGTTGTTCACCCTGAAAACTGAGATAAAGAACAACAGGAAGTGTTTACTTTCCTTCAGCTGTTCTTCTGCTGTGCCTGTAGGCTACAACACAAAGGCAACACGCAAAAAAAGTCTAATGATTCCTTAATTAATTATTTTACATAATTATTTTAAATTTAAAAATTAAAAAGCAAAAAACAATTAAATAATGAAGCAGCCGCTTCCCTCAACCAGTTTCAATTACATCTCATGAAGTTAGAGAGAACCAAAGAGGAGTGCTCTCTGCTTTAAAGACAAGCGGCTCTAGATTTTATGTCACACTGTTACACTATAATTATAATTAAAAGTGATATTTTGACAGCAACAGTTCCCTAAAATGTCATAAATTTACAAGAAAAGTGGTTCATGTAATAAAAACCCTGAGAAAAAGGGACAGATTAGGAGGGAAAACTTCTTTACCTTCTTTGCTGTTTTGGCTTTTGCTTTTTTCCCAGGGTCCCATGGCCTTGTCATCCTCCGACCCATCTATCATGGCCTTGTCACTGGGCACGTACCAGGTGGCGTGCTGCTCTGCCATCAGTGTGTCAAGGTCAATAGTGCCCATTGAGCCCTTCCCAGCATCCGGGCTGCAGCTTGCCAGCTCATTGTCTCCGTTCTGTGAGGGACAGTCACCACTCTTTTTGCCATTCTTCATGGCCAGGGGTTGGTCTTCTGAGATACTGAACTGTTGCCGCTGTAGCTGGATCTGGGCCTGAAGGATCTCCAGAGGATGGATTTCTTCCTGGCCTGAGGAGCTGGATGGGGTGCGTACCTGCTCCACCCCAGGAGTGCCCGGGTGGCTAGTCCCGGAGCCCACACCAGTATTCAGTCCGTAGCTGTCTGGTGTCGAGGTAGTGTGATTGTTAATGCCCATGCCGAGGGGCTTTTGTCCATTCATTAAACCGTGATCGCTCCTCTGCATTTTCGGTGAGCCTGTAATCATAGGACTGCGACTGGGCTTGGTGGCCGAGGCTCCTCCTGCATCTGAGCTGGAGGACACCTCATCCTCATTGCCATAGTGGGTGCTGACATCGTCAGGAAAGTCCACTCTTGGTGAGCTGCTGTCAGACTTGGCAGCAACACTCTGGATGCCGCTGTCTAACGAAGACATAAGGTCTGCCTGGTCCCCCAGCATTAGCTCACCTCCTTTTCCCCAAGAGGGTGACTGGAGGTGCTTCTCATGAGGTGTGCCCCCACCCCTCTCCCCAACGCCAGCCGAGGGGGTCTGCTGGCCTGGACTTACAACAGGGTTCCCGTTTTCAGAGGAAAAAAAAATCCCAGGGCTCACATGTCCGCTGTCTCTTTTTCTCCTCCCTCTCCCTCTCCCACTCCCTGTTGCTGCCTTCCCCTCACTGCACGGGGTAGCGTCCATGTTGTAGTTTGGGGAGAGGGCACTGGCTTCCCCCTGCACCGTCTGGCTTTGACTTACAGGCTTAGAGTTACTATTCCCAGTGCCAGGCATCTGGCTGTTCTGGGAAGTGCTGCTCTGAAAGTATTCAGGACCCGCACTGCCAGTCCCATTAGATGTGCTGCTATTAATGTCCTGCTCTGTCTGACTTAGTTTTCGCTTGCCCTCGTTTTGGTTCTTCTTATTGAATGTTACATTTAGATTGGGGGCCCCTAGACTTGCGATCATGTTCTGGCAGGCCGTGGACAAGGCTGCTAGGCAGCTTTGGCCAAAAACGCTGTCTTTAGAGCTGGTTTTGCTGAAGTTCCCAAGAGATAGAGCACCAAGCTTACTAACAGACGACCGCTGGCCTGAGGGGAACTCAGACTGGGGAGGGTAGCTCCCTGGTGAGGTGCTCACCCCCTGAGGAGCATTGTGTCCCGGCCCCTGGCGGTTAGCGCCTCCATAAGGGAAGGTTGGCTGTGCTCCCATCGGAGGAGCTGGGAAGTCAGCTGTCCGCCTTTCTGCTGGTGCATTTGGATGTCCTCCTCCAGCTCCTGGAGACTGCATTTGTGAGAGGTTGCCCATGTTGCCACCAAATTGCGAGTGCATCCCAGGGGAATGAAGGGTCTGCACATGTCCATCTCCTGGTATTCTCATGGGCTCCTGCATGCCGATGCCTTGCCGAAACATCATCCCAGCCCCGTTCTGCTGGAGCCCCATTTCATTAGGACCAGGCTCGTTACCTGCTCCACCCATACGCCGTGACATCATCTCTCCTGGTGGGTGGGACCCCTGAAACCAGGAATTCTCCTGAGTTACATGAGGATTTTGTCCATCAATGTTGGGCATCCTGCCACCATTCTCTCTGTCAAAGTTTGGTTGGGGCATGCCTCCAACTGGACCTCCATGAGCCATTGGTCCAGGAGGCACGTCGCCATGGTGGCCCAACTGCTGGAGACTGGGCTGCCTCATCCTCTGCTGCTGGTTGCGGGAGGCCATTTGTTTAATCATCATGGCTGCATTTTGGCGCTGCTGCAGAGACTGTGGCTCAGGTCCTTGGTGCTGCAGGGGGCCTGGGGCAAAACCTTCATTCACAGGTGGGGTGAACTCCCCAGGGAGGCCGGGGTATGCAGAAGGAGATATGTGGTTTTCCATAGTGCCACACCAGCCTTCGCCACCATGTGAATTAGGAAAATCAAATCTGGGCCTTTTCGCCATGTTCATGTAGGGAGAGTCAAAGTGTTGAAGTCTCTGATTTGGGGGCTGTTGAGAAGGAGGAGGAGCTGGTTGTTGCATATTAAACATGGGGTCCCCATAGGGGTGCAAACCCCTATTTTCCAGTCTGTGAATGGGATATTCAAATTGGTTGTGTTGGCCAGGCATCATGACCCCTCCATCTAGAATGTTAGGGTTAGTGTTGCCAGGCTCAGCCTGAGGGGGTCGAGGGAGGCCAGGGGGGCATGAGTTCTGTCTGGCTATCAAACTAGCCTGTTGTTGCTGCTGCATGAGAGGATGTCTTGCGTTGACCCCCGGCTCCATTCCCACAGGCACCTTCCGGCCGTTTCCAAAACGCTCAAAAAACACTCCATGCTGTTGCTGCTGGGGCTGTGGTGGAGGCGGGTGTCCCTTAGAAATGCCCTGCATACCTGGTGTCCGTGGCATGCCAGGGTTCCCTGGGAAACTTCCACCAGGAACAGGCCTTCCTGGGCCAAAGTGTGGTAGCTGTGATTCTGATTCAGAGGGGGAAAACACAGGTACATCAAAATGTCCAGATGGGGGCTCGTTAGGGAAGTTGTACTCTAACCCTTCCACCGCTCCCTGATTGGGCATCCGCCGCGGCTCCAAACCATGAGACTCCGATGAGGTGGACGAGGATGACGGAAGACCATGGAAGGAAGCTGCTCTGTTAGGTGACTGATCAAGGGGCAGGCAGGGGGCAGGGACAGCATGGTTGCCACTGGGGGGGCCGTGGTGTTGGAAGTCAGGTATGTTACCCGGCCGCTGCTGCTGCTGCTGCTGGGGAAAACCGTCTCCTGCCTGTCCCTCAGAAAGAGGATCAAATCCATCTCCAAAGCCCTGCTGTGGTCCCATGCCATTGTTGTTGTAGCTCATTATCCTGCCACCATGCAGGCAGGAAGACCCTGGCTCTGGGCCTCCAAAACTCCCACTGAAATGAGCGTGGTGTTGGTGGGGGTGAGGCTGGTGGCCATGTGGATGTCCTTGATGAGGTTGCTGGTTGTTAAAAAATCCATGCATCGGTCCTTGCTGCTGCTGCTGAAGCCCGCTGCCTGCATGTATGTCTGGACGCGGGTGAAAGCCGCCATATGGCTCACCATTCATGTTCATGTTGAGCCCCAGCATTTGCGACTCGTTCATGGGGCCCAAAGCGGGCTCAACAGCTCCGGGCGGGCCTCCAGCATGAAAGCCTGGGCTTTTATAATGGGAGCCCATGTTCAGTCTTTGTTGGTTTATGTTTCTCTCCGACTGGCCAGGGTTTCTGCTATTAATTTGAGAACCAAACTGCTCCAGCCCAAACATACTCCCCTGCAATCAATCCCACATGACAGCCAGTTTGCCAGACATCGGCAGACTGCGTTTTTCCGTCTGTCCCCAAAAGCAAAAAGATGGAAAAATTAATCAAAACAAATTATTTAAATGTTTATCACACTGTTTACAAAAAATTTACATAGCAAAACTCACCAAATAAGTTCTAATTTCCTGAATTTAAAAGTGAGTTTTGTTTTTGAACTTCTCCAAGGACGCAGCGCGGAGTGGACAGACTGTATCCAATTACGCACGCAGACAGCGCGCCTGTCCGTGTGGACACCTTAAAGAGACCGAATTTTGCTTTTAAATGCACAAAAATGGAACTGTGCTGAAAAAAAAACCCCGATGCAGAAGAGAGCTGTGAAATTCCAAAGTCTTTTATCTGTGTTCATTTCTTCGGGGACAAAAACGTAAAACAAAACCGGGCTCGCTGCGAGAAGAGAACAGAAGATCCGAAAAGATCTGCCAGAGGATGCAACAGTCTCTCTGATCTACTTCAAAATTCCAGCTCCTTATCAAATGTCCCACGATGAGTATTTTTTATTTTAGGTCCCGAAGAGGAAATAAAAATCAAAAAGTCAATGTGCAGGTCGCGCTTCTGTGGAGTTCAAATCTATTTGAATAAAAAGCATCACTGAAGCGTCCTTTAAAAATCTCAGAAAGGGGCTGAGCAGACTTCAAACTAAAAGTCCTGCGCGCTGAAAGGTCCAAAAAAAAAACACCGCTTTCAAATCCACGCACCAGAGACCCAGTTAATGGGACTTGACCCCGGAGCAGTGCGGTGCGCACTACCCGCACTCCACAACCACCGAGCGGTTTGACAGCATCCTTCACCCGCCGCCGCTCATGCGCTCTGTGGAGAAGCCCCGGCGCTCTGAACGCCTCTCCGTGAGCTCCGGTGCGCGTTCTGCCGTTCACCGGCTCCTGTCTGGTTTGTTCTGAGTGCGCTTGGAGCGATTCACAGATACACTCACACTCCACTCTGCCGCTTGGCGCTGTGTGAGATCAACGCGTCCAGAGGAGCCAGCAACAAGTTTTGCATTTCTGCAGCCAGTCCAAGATGTCTCAGCCAATCACAGGGAGCTACGGAAGCTCCGGGGGCGGGACGCACGACGTTAAGGTGGTCCGCGAAGTAAATGTGATTGGAAACTCTTGTTTGGAAATGAGATTTCATTAAAAAATCCATGTGATGTTTGAAAACACAACTCGGATTAATCTGAATACAAGAAATGTTTATTTTCCTACATAAAATTAGTATTTTCAGCCTGTGTGGAAAAATAGCTCACTGCTTTTAACACAGCCTGATGCGTAAAAGCTTTCCACAAATTACCAGGTTAAATTTTGGATTTTATTTTGTCTGGACTCCATTCATAACAATAAATATTTTCATTTGATGGCACGCATTTACTCATGGGTTTATCTGGAGCAAAAACAACCCGTTTTATTTATTATAGAAATAAGTAGATAGAGGTGTAGCTCCTTACAGCAAAAGCTACACCCATAAGAAGAAAAATATTCCAAATCAAATGCCTTTTTATTAATAGCTATTAAAAACAAGCAAGTCGTGCTGAGTCTAAAACACTGATCTTTAATGATAACGGTGTAAATCTGTTTGTGCCAAATAAAAATGTGTGTGAAACAGAATCCCAACAGGGAGGTGGAAAACAAAAATAATCCTCCTTAAAAGACCATTAGAAGTAAATCATGTGGATGATATTGGGTTGAATGTCGATAATCAATAGTTTTCTGTTACTATTATGGTCTTTAAAATAAAGCCCTTTTCCATGACCATGATGAGGATAACTTATTCCAAAGGTTAATTAGCATGGCATGAAATTGCAGGTTATCAGTAAAAGGTTAAGTGCTGCCCTATGATAAAGATAAGATATTATATATGTATTCAAAATGGAAAAAATGTCATATAAGTGCAGAAAAGCAGAGTCAGCATAAATCAAACACCTTAAAAATCCCACCTGGTGTGTTTTATTCTGACAAGGTGTTAAAAGTTTCGGTCTAAATCAGAAAGTTCCCTACATTTCACAAGGGAATTGATGTTTAACTTTGCTTGTAAAAGAATCAGTTGAATCCACAATTGTTGTGACAATTATTAATTAACTGGTGATCAGAAAGAAAAGAAAACCAACACATGTGAAGTAGTGGCTGAACCAAAAAATGTCCACTTGTTTTATTTATTTATTTATTTATTTATTTATTTATTTATTTATTTATTTATTTATTTATTTATTTATTTATTTATTTATTTAGATAAAAGGAGAAAACAATCCCGTCTTTCCCGGACTCTGAACAGGAGAAGGAATCGGTGGCAGCCTCTGCGCCCTTCTTTTAGTGAGTAGAACAAGCTTTTACCAAACAGACACAGTGCCACCTAGCGGCCGCCGAACTCAGAAGGTGCAGGTTCAGGCTGGAGCGTTAAGAAATGAGCTTTGCATCACAGGAAGTGTAAAACTCGACATGGTGCAAAGTGATCGTGTAAAATTCGGATGTAAGAGAACTTTTAAGATGAATACACTTATGTTTATTTGTTCATAAATAACGTAAAGTACTGAAAATGACAGAAAATTCATTAAATAAGGTTATTATGATTTTTTATTTTAAAATGGCATTTAATCTTTTTTAATTTTATCTGCATATAGTATTATATATCTAAACGTTTTATTAAAAAATAGAGTTGCAGCTAAAGTGTTTTGAGCTCTGCTCAGAAAAATAAACCTATACAAGACATCCAGTGTTGCATCCAGGGACCGAGACCGAGCCAGAACCCCATCACTAAAAGGCTGGAGCCAGAAGATCCAGGAGAGGAGGAAGCTTGTATTTAGTAAGAGTAAAGTAGCTGCAGGTAGAGCAGGAAGGAGAAACATGTCAAGTTGTTTGGATGTGCTAAAGGCTGTTGTGTAATGTGCTGCCAAGGTCTCTCTCTCTCTCTCTCTCTCTCTCTCTCTCTCTCTCTCTCTCTCTCTCTCTCTCTCTCTCTCTCTCTCTCTCTCTCTCTCTCTCATCACCTGTCTGATGGACCACCTCCATACGTCAGAGCCATCTGGATGTTAGTATTCAAAGAATTTCTCCCTGGAAATGCTTGAAGTGTGCTAAATCCCCATTACCTGGTCAAGGCAAATGTCACGGTTCCATAGAAAGTTAAAAAATAATATTCGGTCTCATTTAATAAAGATAATCCATCTAATTAATCTCAATAAAGGTAGAAAAATCAGGCTTTTAGCAGCTCAACAGGAGAAGAAACCCCATCTGGATGTTGCTGCTTGACTGTAATAACCCTGCAGTGAGATCTCTGCTTTGCCCGTCTTTTCAAATATAGAAACAGTGTGACAACCCAATATGGTGTCTCTCCTCCACACTCCTCAGAGAGGATAAATGCAGCTCAGAGTGGCTGTAGCAGCTTCATGACAACGGACAGTCTACTGGCTTTTAAGCACCGTCACATCACCGCTCGTCTCTGCCGTGATTTAGAGCTCAATTTGTCTCAATATTTTACTCAATGGAACAAGGTAGCAGAAGTGGGTGTCCTCTCTCAGCCCTAATTCATGCCGTTAAGCTTTTCCTCAACTAGACATATATTACAGTGGGGGACGCCCAAAGAGACAGTTCCTTCCTTGTTGAGGGAGGAGGGGTGGGGGGTGTGCAGCGTCCTGCCAGTGAGGAGAGCCTCAGTGCATCCTCTATAGGCCTGTCACTCACACCAAGCCATCAGAACAGTGTGGGTCAGGGCAGGTTAAGCAGCAGCTGTCATCTAGAGGAGCACTATTGTATTTAGGGGAGGGATGCGACACACACACACACACACACACACACACACACACACACACACACACACCACCACCACCACCACCACCACCACACGTCACACAGAACAACAGGAAAGACTCAAGAGAATCTCTGGAGCTAAATTTGACACAAGCCTGGAGGACGAGGGAAAGCTGGTGACATCACTGCCACCCTTCTAGTATGGAAATAACTCAGCCTCCATGCAGTTGTGACACTGGAGGAGGACCACATTAAACAAAAAGAGGCAGATGTGGACCAAACCAGTTAAATCTTCAATCAGCCATCTCCATCAACCCTCAAAATGAGGCGTTGAGACAGAAGCCTCCACGTGGCTCCTAGAACATTCAAATTCCTGTTTTTTTAAGTGTCGTAGGCCTTCACAAATTATGCCGACAGATTTATTGATATGGTGGATTTAACTTATGCATCACTCTGGCTGTCACAAAACTGTTTTTATCTCAGAAAAGTGAGACGCTTTTTGGTAACATGCCTGGATCTCCTGCTGTGTCAAGTCTTGAGCCTCTCTTCATCCCTTCATCTGTTACTGAATCTATTTCAGCGACGGGGGCTCACTGGTGACACGTCCCCTCATCTTCTCTGCGAGGGAGACACATGGTTAGACGGATGCAGGCATACTGCGGACCACTGTGAGCTGCCACTTAACAGGAGGTGTGTAGGCGAGTCGGCCCATCTCCCCATTTAGAAACCACATTATTTGCGCGTTTGGTGGCAGAAATGAGTGGTTTCCTTGCAGCAAGCCAATGTGACCGTTCCCCTGCAAACAATACAGAAGGCAGCTATCTCAACCAGCAGACTCGCAGCTTTTCCTGCTCTTTAGCACAGATTCCGCTGTTATTGTGCGACTCCTCTGACCTGCAGGTCGCAGAAAGTCTAGTCTGTACTGGAGCGACCAACAAACTGCCTGAAAGTGATTGTATCAGTGACTGTGTTATAACAAGGCTGCAAAGGACCTTAAATTGTGTTTAGAGCCAGAAAAGACTCAACTTTAATTTCTCCCTATAAACATGTTTGTTTCCATGGGTACAAAGATGTCTTCAAATGTCTTGCAGACGACGTTCTCGAGGAACTTGTTCCACACAATAAATCCTTTCAATTTCCAGTGAGATGTTTGGTTTGGAAGATGAGAGGGTATCTGATGAAGATGATGGGAAGGAGTACAACCGAGATCTTTACAGGGAGTGCAGAATTATTAGGAAAGTTGTATTTTTGAGGAATAATTTTATTATTGAACAAGAACCATGTTCTCAATGAACCCAAACAACTCATTAACATCAAAGCTGAATGTTTTTGGAAGTAGTTTTTAGTTTGTTTGTAGTTTTAACTATTTTAGGGGGATATCTGTGTGCAGGTGACTATTACTGTGCATAATTATTAGGCAACAAAACAAAAAAATATATACCGATTTCAATTATTTATTTTTATCAGTGAAACCAATATAACATCTCCACATTCCCAAATATACATTTCTGACATTCAAAAACAATACAAAAACAAATCAGCGACCAATATAGCCACCTTTCTTTGCAAGGACACTCAAAAGCCTGCCATCCATGGATTCTGTCAGTGTTTTGATCTGTTCACCATCAACATTGCGTGCAGCAGCAACCACAGCCTCCCAGACACTGTTCAGAGAGGTGTACTGTTTTCCCTCCTTGTAAATCTCACATGTGATGATGGACCACAGGTTCTCAATGGGGTTCAGATCAGGTGAACAAGGAGGCCATGTCATTAGTTTGTCTTCTTTTATACCCTTTCTTGCCAGCCACGCTGTGGAGTACTTGGACGTGTGTGATGGAGCATTGTCCTGCATGAAAATCATGTTTTTCTTGAAGGATGCAGACTTCCTCCTGTACCACTGCTTGAAGAAGGTGTCTTCCAGAAACTGGCAGTGGGACTGGGAGTTGAGCTTGACTCCATCCTCAACCTGAAAAGGCCCCACAAGCTCATCTTTGATGATACCAGCCCAAACCAGTACTCCACCTCCACCTTGCTGGCGTCTGAGTGGGACTGGAGCTCTCTGCCCTTTACCAGTCCAGCCACGGGTCCATCCATCTGGCCCATCAAGACTCACTCTCATTTCATCAGTCCATAAAACCTTAGAAAAATGAGTCTTGAGATATTTCTTGGCCCAGTCTTGACGTTTCAGCTTGTGTGTCTTGTTCAGTGGTGGTCGTCTTTCAGCCTTTCTTACCTTGGCCATGTCTCGGAGTATTGCACACCTTGTGCTTTTGGGCACTCCAGTGATGTTGCAGCTCTGAAATATGGCCAAACTGGTGGCAAGTGGCATCTTGGCAGCTGCACGCTTGACGTTTCTCAGTTCATGGGCAGTTATTTTGCGCCTTGGTTTGTCCACACGCTTCTTGTGACCCTGTTGACTATTTTGAATGAAACGCTTGATTGTTCGATGATCACGCTTCAGAAGCTTTGCAATTTTAAGACTGCTGCATCCCTCTGCAAGATATCTCACTACTTTTGACCTTTCTGAGCCTGTCAAGTCCTTCTTTTGACCCATGTTGCCAAAGGAAAGGAAGTTGCCAAATAATTATGCACACCTGATATAGGGTGTTGATGTCATTAGACCACACCCCTTCTCATTACAGAGATGCACATCACCTAATATGCTTAATTGGTAGTAGGCTTTCGAGCCTATACAGCTTGGAGTAAGACAACATGCAAGAAGAGGATGATGTGGACAAAATACTCATTTGCCTAATAATTCTGCACTCCCTGTAGATGATGAGATTTGTCAAACTGAAACTTTTAGTAAAAAAAAAATTAGAGATGTTCATCACCACTACACAAAAACTAGGGCAGGGTGGCAGCACACGAGGTCAAATATTAGAAAAGCTTTACTGGAGATGTTAAGCTGCAGAGCTTTGGGTAGTGACCGAAAGAATGAAATCACAGATACAAGAAGCTGAAATGAGTTTTGTCTGCGGGGTGTCTGGGCTCTCTCAGAGATCGGGTGAGAAGCTCAGAGGGGCTTGGAGTAGATCCGCTGCTCCTCCACATGGAGAGGAACCAGTCAAGGTGGCTCGGGCACCTGGTCAGGATGCCTCCTGGATTTCTCACTGGTGGTTTTCTGGGTACGTCCGACCGGGAGGCAGGAGACCCAAAGTAAGACCCAGAAAACGCTGGAGGGATTATGTTTCTCAGCTGGCCAGGAAAAGCCTTGGGATTCCCCCAAGAACCTGTCCCAAGTGGCCCGGGAAATGGAAGTCTGGGCTTCTCCGCTTAGCCGCTGCTCCTTCGACCTGACACCGGATAAGCGGATGAAAATTTAAATAGTTTTACATGTAAAGCTACACTAATAAAAGATTAAAGAAACATTTATGTATCTTAAAGAAATTTATTATACTTGGATACAACATGCAGACTTAACACACGAGATCTCCAGAAAAAGAAAAGGCACAATGAATTACACATTCACAACATCCCCTGAATCCTTTTTTAATCCAATCAGAAACGTTTTAAAAGCAAGCCTGTAAATATTTGTAGATTTTATCAGTTAGGATACAAAATTAGTTTCTTTTTGAGACTCTAGCATTAAAACGACTGGGCCAGCTTTGACACCACTGACTGAAGCTGCTGGATTTACAACATCTCTGCAGAAATTTCAGATTTCATTGGAAAGTTTGGCGTAGACCACCGTTTCACACACCTGCCGTGCTCCGACAGCAACGATGAGGTGGCATTGAAACGGAATAAGCTATAACATGGTTTCTTTGGTAGTGAAATTGTAATGTTTCATGTTTTTAAGCTGTCATACTGAGAATGAAGCAACCATTTTATGTCTAAAATACCTAATTCTTTCACCTGAGAACATTTTGCCTGAATGTTTCTTTAGACAACTATCTTCAGAGTTCCTATGTGTAAACAAAAACAGTTGAATTTCAACTCTTTGAACAAAACGCCTGCTGAGAACGAGTGCATTTTCTCGTTAGACTACCAGAAAAACAAAAACAATAAACCGTCGATAATTCTGTTTTGTAGGTAAATACGAAATCAGGAGTTCTAAAAACAAATTCTAGATTCTGAGGCACGCTACGAGTCATCGATACACAACAATAACAGGAAAGCCCAGAAGGGATCAGATGAGTACACCGCATGTACAACACAAGCACTGGTTCATGATGGTTCTGGAAACCAAACAAGTGTGCTACAGTAATCAAAGTCGATCATTTGGCAAATCTTTCATCTGATGGTAATCTGCAGCCTTTCGCTGTGACAGAAAACACTCCAACACGTGGAAGGAATTGCACTTGCTCAGGTGCCATGATAGAAACATTCAGTTTCACTGAATAAGAGTAAAGATTAATCACAAAAGTCACCCATAAAGCTGCGTCTACCAAGGTTTACTCTAGGAAAGCAGCAGCTCATGGCTAATGCTAATCCGCAGGCATTAGGAAAACTGCCAGTTAGAAACGAGGGAGGTAGATAGCAGTAGCTGGCAGCAGAGCTGAGAGGTGGGATCGGTATTAAAGGTCTGCAGATTAAGGCAAGCAGTGTGTGATGCTGGTGTTAACTGGGCACTAATAAAGCAATTATGACTCTGTAAACATGACTGGAATGAAGCTAAAGAGGAGGCCTTTTAAAAAAACCGTCTACCTCTGAGAAACCACACGAGTGAGACGGGCCTCTGGAGTGAGCGCACTACGGCTTGGCTTGTGACAGAGGCTGGAGGGGTGTGGCACCCATCTGTGGATTTTTATTATTTTTTTAATTCAGTGCAGTTTTTTCCTCTCGAGACATCTGTTAAGGATGTGAACGCTAGGCTGTATGCTGCGTGTGAATGTCTAGAACAGTGATGATGAGGAGGGAGGGAAGGGACTGCTGAGTGCTGTTAACATCTTTTTTGATACACAAGCTTGCAAGGATCTGCCCAGCCTGAGCTTGTAAGCGATCAGTCAGCACAAAGGCATCCACACCTGTGCATGCTTGTGTGTCTCAGAACAAATTCACACGTTCATCCTCGTGTGTCATGAGTTAGTGAGGCTTTACACTAAGTCTGAGCAGAAGTGAGAGTAAATACCTGTATGGGCATGATTGTCAGAGATAATAAGATGCAGTACTTTGGTGAAGGTGAGGTGACTGGGGAGGTTTTAATGGCCCTGGGTGCCAAGTGTGTTAGTAATCACTTAATGGAGGCTGTGGCAGGAAGGAACATGAGTGTAACAAACACTCACGTCAGGGAATGCAAACCACTGAGCCTCCATGTCGGCAGCAAAGAGTCAAGAAGAGGCAGAGGGGACAGTGCCTAGTGAGGAATGTGTTTGATGCAATAAAAAAGGAAAAACATAAAACACAAAAGGAAATATTTGGTCCAACACTTCAGCCTCAAGATATAAGCACTGCTTTGTATTCATCTATACAGCAAATACTTCCCTACATGTCTCCCAAAGTGTAGCTTTCTCTTACAAGATGATGATAGATGGCCTTTCTCTGCCCAGGAGATCAAAAGTAACCAGAGTCTTTTAAGCTACGATTGTGTTGCTTTCTAGAAATCAATTCCTCACAGGACAGAATGTCTATGATTGGGGTCAAGTCAAGGATCTGCTCTATTGATCGCAGGTAGCTGGGCTCCTTCCTCCACAGCCTGAATCAGTTTGGGTAAAAAGAGGCGTTAAAGGACCATTCTTAGACTCCGATGAATTGTGGCTGTTTCCAATTGTGTCTTTTCATTCGTCTGCGGCGCAGGTTCCCCGAACTTCGCCCCGCTTCCGAAGCTGGAAAGAAAGAAAACAAGAGAAAATTAAGCAGAAAAACCAGATTTGAATCAATCACCGAGGATAACGTGAAGTCACAGGAAAGTCTGATGACTGGATCTGACTTCTATTTATGCAGCAGAAACTTAGGGTTTAACTTCTTTTGCAAACCAATAAAAACACAACAAATTGCTTTTTACCAACTGAAACATAGACTTCCTTAAAAATCAGCTCCAAAAGTCCTCATCAATCCTCTTGTTTGACTTCTAGGTAGATAAAAGCATCCCTTTCAAATTCTCCCACCCCGAGGCTGATGGCTTTGGAAAGTCAATTAGTGTTAGAATCTGATAGCCCAACACCTCAAACGAAACAGCTCAAACTAACATCGGCTCTAAACAGGGGAATAGACAGATCTGATGAAATAGCAGGAGGATTTACTCTACCACTTCGCCATCTTTCCTCTCCTCTTCCCTCTCGCAATCACAGGCCAGACTCTTTCTTAACAGCAGAATTCCATTTGTATGTTAATGAGGAAAAAGGAGCCATCTCAAAGCCGCCAACCACACCCTTCCCGCTAGCCCTCCCTATTCTATACCCACCACACTAGAACACTATACATACAATATACAGGCATGCCCCTTATGGCTCCTTAATATAGAGTTTACCCGTTAGTCTTGTTTAGAGACTGTAGTCAACATGTCATTGCAGCCAGTACAGTCCCAAGTGTGACCCTGCTAACCCTTGTGCTCAGAAGTTCAGGCCGTGAACAGCCTCCTCACCACAGCCCTCTTTGATGGCACCCGCCTGTTTACTTACTTTGGGGGAAAATGGAAAACACATGCTGGATTGGGCGAGATGTTCAGAGGGGGGAAGGCCAAGCACAAAATGCAGTATGTGGGTAGAGCGCCAAGAATGTTCGAAACTGGCCCACTTTGGCCAGTTCAGTCCAGATTCCTCCCTTGTTCTCCTTGTACGGCCAAAAGCTCCCAAACTGAAATCTGGAGTAGCTCCAAGACCAAAGCAGTGGTAAGGCTTTACAGAGAGTGAGTTAAGGACATTATAGCGTCTTGTTTTCAAGCTGTTGCACTTCTCTGCTTTGGAGATGCTCTGAGCTGCAAGTACTCCAACCGATTCTTCTGAAAGTAACATTTACAACAAGGTGAAAAGTTTGGAAAACAAATCGGTCTGACCTGCAGTCCTGCAGTGAGAACGGTCCAGATCTTTACATTGGGGGAAACTAAACAACTTCACAAGTGCACGGCTCAACACAGGAAAACCACCTCTTCAGGTCAAGACTCTGCAGTCCACTCAGAAGGGACACTTTTGAAGATGACAAAAGTACACATTCTGAACAGAGACAATAGATTAGATAGATTCTGGACTGTTTCAGTCTAGGTCACACCCTCTTGCATCATTAATACAACAATTAACACACAATAGAGGCCAACAATGCCAACGACTCATCAGGATGTAGGAAGGAGGGGTGTTCATAGATAGTTTCTACTTGTTAAGCAACAATAGACAGCTACCATACCTTCTCAGTGGCCTAGTGCTAGGCGTGTCCCCCCTGGAAAATCGGGGTTCAAAGCCATGGTCGGGTCACACCTAAGACTTTAAAAATGGGACCCAATGCCTCCCAACTAGACACGCGGCTTCATGGGGTTGGATTGAGGGGTTAAACCAACAAAATAGATCCTGAGCGCAGCTGCTGCAGCTCACCACTCCCCGTAAGGATGGGTCTAATGCAAAACTCCTCAGATGAGAAGCGAAACATCTTCAAGAAACCAAAGAAGTCCAGTTGCTTTCATTTGAACCCCTTTGGATTTCCATGACATGGATGACTGAGAACCTTCACCAGCAAACAAGTCTAAGGCTACGTTCACACTGCAGGCAAAAGTGCATCAAATCCGCTTTTATCCCCACATGCTGATTTTTTATGACACTCTGAACGACAGATCTCATTTTTTCATATGTGATTCGTGTCACTTGAATATGTGGTACTAATTCCGACACATATCTGATGTTTTTCAAGGCGACTGCAATCTGAACGGTCATGTTGCATTAAATCCGTCGCCTACGTCACTGAGTTGGCGCCGTGTGTAGATGTTCCTGAGGAGAAGCTCTGACAGATGGGTTCAGGAGTCTGTCTGGACATCCCGTTTTAAGCTTTGGAATAAAAAAAACAGGAGAGCATGAGAACAGGAGCGGGAGTTGCTGCTGGAGCGAGGCGTTTCACTGGTCTCCGTCCCCATGGAGGGGGTTCTCCGTGACTCAATTAATACCGGAACATTTTCAGTGAATAATAATTCAGGAAGACAGCGGGAACAAGGAGTAACATAGTTTACAGTTTTTAAAACAGTTTCCAGCCCAAAATGGAAGAATTAGCAGGTGTGATCCTGATCCTGTGGATAAACGGTCAGTGAAAACTTTCCCATCACAACTCCGCCGATGTGAACTGTAACTTCTTGTCTTCTGCACACGCGGGCCGCTTTGGGGCCGTGAAGCGTTCACACTGGAGAGAGTTTGATGTCACATTTCAGTCATGGTGTGAACAGCCACACAAAAAAATCAGAAATGAGCATCAAGGCCTGCAGTGTGAATGTAGCCTAAGAAACAAGGACAGGTATTCATCTGACCCTGTAAAACAGGACAATGGACTCATCTCATTTTGGTCCACCAATTATTTCAGGAAGAACTTTGGAGATGTGGGTCAAAACCCATTCAACTACACAGAGAAAGCAGAGTGAACGTACCACCTAGACGGAGAAGCCTGTCATTACCGGAGGAGCTTTACATGAATCATCTTGTTGAGCCATGCCAGTCCTAAACAAGAACTTAAAATATGATATGAAATACGTCATCATCCTGGCTGCATTGCTGTTGATTCAGGAATAAGCAATAGAGGAGTTAAGTTCATGATTCTTAATGGAGGGTTACGGGTTTAAAGAACAGCAATTGTTTTTATGGAAGCTTGTTTGGAAATTTATATGAATGAAATTTCTTCTTTGATTCAGGCGGATTCACTGATTTCTGACGATGATATGCTACTGACAGAAGAGCTGCAGTTCATCGATGGTCCAAGACAGCTTTGAGTCACGTTAATGTGCTGTAAATGTTTGTGGGCAAGACAGCAAACTGGTTTTGACCAGTGACATTGGGCAGGTTCGGCACAGAGAGCACAACTCAAAGACAGCATTATAGTTGGAGTGGATGATGATTTTATGGAGCATTTTTGCCATATTGCTTGAAATGCTCTTTACATACCAAAGATAACCAACCAATTTAATGTTTTGTCATAAAAAAATTAATCTCCTCTCAAAATGTACAGTCCTGGAAAGACCACATCCAATCATTGTCAACATCCCATTCTTAATGACTGGGCCATGATGTATCCATCAAACTACCTGATGACTGTCTCTTCCCACTCTGCTCATACCGCTCGATGTGAACGAATCATTTGTTCTTGCCTTGGAGCAGCTAAACAGTAAGAGAAGCCAGAGCCGCTCCTGTTCTGTTTTCAATTTTCCTTTAAGGAGCCGTTTCACACGTTCCGTTTACAGTCTGGTTCTGTTGTTTTTGGGAAACGTTGAGGTGATGCACCCGTTGTCTGTAAATGCAACCCGTCCTCTTTCTAGGGCTGTCGCGGTTGAGGAATTACCCCTGCGGTGATTCAGGGTGGCTTAATATTGCGGTGTGCGATATTATTGCAGCCCTTTTTTTATTGCAGTACTATCTAAACATAATGCTTACACATTTAAAAAAGGTTAAAAATTGCCGTGCCTTCTTTAATAACACTTTACTGAATGCAGATCAAAGGGCAGTAACAACACAGATCGCAGTAACGTTTGTTTCTCCGACAGTCGGAATCCGACTGAACCTAAAAACAACAAAATTCAGGAGAAGGTTAAACTTATAAATGCAAATTTGGCTGCAGCATCTAACAAATAATAAACAAGTCCCCATTTTGTTTAGTTGTTTAAAATCAAGCATAAAAAATTACATGTACCGGGCGCGCGCGCGCCGGGGGGGGGGAGCAGGCGCACTATCATTTCACTTTCACACACACGAATGACGGTGATTTATAGCTCGGTCACGTCCTTGTTACCTACAAGGAAAACCAGCATGTTAACCATATACGGTTTGAGAGAGGATCTGAGAGGGGTGGCAACATTTCCAGCAACACTGAAAACCCTCTCGGATGGTGCGCTCGTTGCACTAACGCACACGTACTTGCGTGTGACTCTGGTGAGCAAAGGGAATCTCTCCCGGGTTGTTGCTCCACCATGTCAGGGGGGTTTCTTTAGGGTGGATGCATTCCTCCTGCAGGTAGCGAGTGAGCTCCAGCTCGGCTCAAACTCTCTTCGGGACGGTTGCAGAAGCAATGCTTGTCCGGGACTTCAGCAGGTCTCCGAGCGTTTATTATTATTTTTTTGCCGCTGGTGGCAGCTCTGTCTCGGCCAAGGACTCTGGCTGCGCAGCAGCTGACGTACTGAAAACCAAAGTGCTCCCAAAGGAGCGAAGTAACGTTTCGTTTTGATACCAGTGCAGCCATCCTTCTCAACATGCATCATTGAGTTGAACCAAGTTCAGTAATCGCGGTGGCCCATGATGCAGCGCGGTGGGCTTCTTCATATTGCGATATTTCATTTTTGCGGTTACCGCGACAGCCCTACCTCTTTCCACTAGGGATAGGTACCTTTGACATTTGAATTAATATGGTACCAATTGCCATTACCTAGAAATTGATAGCGGTCCTTAATACCAGTTTTTGATACTTTTGAGTGTTAAATAAATATTTACATTTTTTCTCAATATATATTTCATAAATATCATGATTAACAACATACAACTGGCATTTCATGTATTTTTATCATCGCAGTGTTGTACAAAATGCTTTCATATATAAACCTTCAACCACAACAGTTTCTAAATGATGCCAAACTGAAAACCCAGCTCCATGTACTCCTAATCCTGTTCTATGCCCTCTGGAATAACTATGACGAGGAGACCGTAGAGTATAAACTACAAATGAAACTAAAGCAAACTTTGATACCATACAGCTGTTTGTATTTTAATATTGTGGTGTTTCATAAACTACACCCAGCTCTGTGTACTCCTTTTCCTCTCCTCTCCCTCTGGACAAACTGTGTGATGGTGGGTCTTGTAGTTTTATAAACTAAGAATTAAACTGAAGCAAACATCTTTGCTGTGAACTAAATTTACTGTGTATCTTCGTTCCTTTTGTCTTCTTTTTCAAACGGTTGATTTTTCATACTTGGAAGTCAGAATTTACGAGTTCCGAGGAGAAAGCAAACGCACCATTAGCTGATGTTAACGGAAGCTAAAAATCAAGCTAAGGTTGTCTTAAACAGTTTATTTTCATGCTGGAGCAGATTAAGATGATGATGCCTCACTTAGATCGTTGTTGATGTCATCATCATCACCCATTTAGTGAAGTGGACCTAAACTTTAGAGGCTCTCTCTCTGCCATGCTGCCTGCTCAGGTTTACAGCTCGCAACTGACACTAGGGCTGGGGTAAACGAGTATTTTTAAAACAATTATTCTGATGATTATTTTACCGAATAGTCGACTATTCTAATGACTATTTAGACAACTAATCTAATAAATTCCTCAAAAAAATTTATAAATTGTAAGAGAATAAACACTACAGGCCTTCCATTTTGTATAACACTGCTTTTATTGTGTTGAGGTTGGTTATGTTCTGGTGACATGTAGAACTTGGGAGAGCAGGCTGCTGCCTGAGAGGTGGTTGGAGACGGAGTGTCTCCATGCTGCTTTGTTTTGGTCACTTATGTGCGTGAGGCGAGTGGTGTTACGATCCTTCCTGGGGAGTTTGGCTCGTGTGCAAAAAGGAAGGGACAATAACGGGATTTAAAAGTTAAAATGATGATCAGGTTTATTTACAACTACAAAAAAAAAAAATCTTTCCATCCACAGGTTGGGAATAATGAAACCAATTCTTCCTGTGGGGAATTAAAACAAAAGTACAAATAACTAGGGATGTCCCACTGGGCAAAGATTACTGGGTTCTGGACCAAAATAAGGATCTCCAAAGGTCCAAACTCTAAACTAGGTGGTTAAACCAAACTCAAGGTGAAATTTTAAACTAAACCGAAAACCCACAGCACTCTAAATGTAATTAAAGGGAGATCTACGCCACAAAAAAGATGAACTCTAAACCAAAACATAACAGCGTATCCAAACGCAAGAAGCTGTTAGTGAAAATGCTAACAGTAGCTTTACCAACGTTAAGTTCAAGTTACCAAGTTTAAATAAACCAAAAACACCCAGCAGCAAACAGACCAGCATGGAGGAGAGGCTGCTACCACAAAACAGCTCTCCTAATGTCTGAAAGAAGCTCCTTTATGAAGGGAGAAACTCTCCCGGTGATTTTCTACATCTGCGGTAGACACGAAGCAGCGCATTCGACCCCAGAAGTTGTTGTCCGTTACCGGGAGACGAAGGCGGGCTAAACAGGAAAGGAATCTAGTAGCGGACGGGCATTGTTTCGGGTCTTCGGTATTTGGCGGAGATGTTAGTGAAGGCGGAGAAGAGGGCGAACTAGAGGAAAAACAGGCAGATTCCTCCTCGATTTACAAACTCCTGGGGACGCAACAAGTGGGTGTGGTGCGTCGACTACCGGATCTGACAACGACAATTTTTTAGAATCAAGCCGTCAACGTCATCGAGGCTTCGCTACAGCCCTAAGTGACAACATTATGCTGTTGTCTATCTTGGCAAATGGCTGTCTCACAAGTTTTCGTTAACGAAGAACAGATACCAAAACAAGGCACCGTTTCATATCATGTGAGTCGGTCCTCCGTAGGTACCATGGAATTCGGTCAGTGCTATGCTTAAGTGTCTCATATCTGAATGAATAGATTTGCCAGATAACCTGCCGATTGTACATTTAATCCTTTGCAGAAACCCAATTTTGTTGTTATGAGAAAGTATGTGAGCTTGTTTCTTTTGAAAAATCATTCACAAAGGGCCAAGAAGTGAGACAGATTAATTAGACACAGCAAGACACTTTGCACTTTGACTCAACAGAACTATTCTCTATTCCTATGAAGCTGAAGCAAATCAGAATCTTGTTTGTAGACTTTCCTAATGTGCATGAGTGAAAACAGTAGCTGGGCATTCTGATCCTCTGAATTTTACAAGGGGTTGCAAAATGCCATTAAATAGTTGCCTTGTTAAAATAACTGCCCTGTTACATTTACAGCAATAAAATAATACTGAGTTGGTTTGATGATGGCGAGAGCAGCAGTCCAGGGATCGTGTAGAGAGAAGAATGTCTGCGTCTGCAGCGATGCCATCTCAAGTGACAAAAACTGAACCACTGGTGTAAATTCAAATACGGTCTCATTTCAGACTAGACTCGTTTTGACCACTTAACTGGAAGCAGCTTGCCACTGGATAAAATTGAAACTTTTTAAGTGTTGCTGAGTAATTTCCATCTGCTAAATAAGACTCTTTCATAATAAAACTATACCCTAGTTTACCAGTAGAAAGCCTTTTGTAAGAAGATGAGAATTTCAAGGAAAAAGAGGACGTTATTGTGAGAATGATGATTAGATTTTTAAATATTTGTTTCATTGTCAATCTTCACCTGACGATTAAACCAATGAAGAGCAGGCCATGGCTTTTATTTATAATCCTTTCAAAATAAAACTATTTAGGAAGCAATAATTATGCTAGAGTTTACTGGCAGGTGTTGTGGTGTGTTTAAAAGTGGACATCTGCCAGGAGAAAATCTCTTGGATTAGGATTTTAAAACAGTGGCTGTGTTGGAGTGGCAAGATTGAAAAATCAGTTCACAATTTGTTTAAATGATTCTTTGAACATCTAGAAACCACTGCCTGCCCCTCATATGAAGCAGGAATATCAGAAATGTGTTGGCTGGATTTTTGATTGAAGATAAATGAATCCATGAGGCTACAGTGCAGATGCAGATCTTTACAAATGTGTGCAACAGTCACAGGGCAAATCCCTTTAAGAGACTGCAATGGTTCACAAAGCAACACACATTTTTAAACCAGGCCTCTGCAGCCTTGGTACGTCACACAGAACTCTTCCTATGCATCGAAACAAAAGAAGCGCCAGCAAATCACAAACAAATGGAAGCTCAAAAGCCTGTGGGACAAACTGGACAACAACACACCCAATAACCTTTAGGCCACTGCTTTAGGTCTGCTAACTGTTTTAATCCTATTGTTGGCGAATTTGTTATGCAAAACACTGAGATTTAATTGTGGATAATCATAAACACAAACCTCATCGAGCTCTCTTTGAGTTTCTGCCTCCATCCGCCGAATATCATCCATATTCAGCTCCACCCATCTATCGATCCAGCAGAACAGCTGGCGATGGAAGTTATTGAAGATTCTCTTCTCTTGCTGAAGGAGATGATAGCAATTTTAGTAGAGCTGGGACGTATCATTATAAATTTCAGAAATAACTTATTAAATGGTGTAAAAAAGCATTCAATTGTTGCAGTGATGCTAAATGAAAAAACTTGTTTTAGCATTTATCGTTTTAAAGGGAGATTAGGCAGTTTTGGCTTGCTTTTAGCACCCCCTAGTGTCTTTTTATCTCCTCGCTGTGCGTTCATCTTTTTAACACCTTAATCTAAGGGCTGAATGTCTCCCCAGCCTTTATTAACTCATTCACTGCCATTGGCGACTAAAGTCGTCCTTTTAGATCCACCCGTTCACTGCCAGTCGTCATTTGCATTTTTTTACTGTTTGAGCATCGGAACGAGCCCCCGCGCTGAGAGAACAAACATCTCAGCCCTGAAGCCATTCTTCATCCGCATACGTCACAGATCACATGATCAGGAAGCAACACATCCATGTGTTTGGAGATCGTTTTGGGCCGTTCCTGGAAAAAAAGTGAGGCGCGAACCGGAAAAGCGTCTGCCGATCACAATTCGACAACGGATTATGAAAGAAGGGATAACGCTCGAAACACGCGGCTTCTTCCTGATGTAAGAGGTGAGTCTCCTCTTTGTTTTGGCATCGACATCATGCTAGCGCGCAACATTCTGTGACTCTTAAAAAAACAGTAAAAACGGTGAGAAACTCTGGCAGCGAAGGCCGTTAGTGATCAGGAAACGGCTGGCAGTGAGTGAGTTAATGTCTAGAGTGATTCATCTCTAAAGTAAAAAAATCAGCTGTGTTCATGATCAAAAACATGCAGGAAACGTGCTAGAAGCGGACTTCAGCACCAGGTATGTCAGCTTTAGCTGAAAGCTATAAGAAAATTATAAAAATTTACTTCAAAAGTTGCATACTGTCTCTTTAAAAACTAAAAGAAAAGAAATGCATTAACCAGGAGGAACAGATCCAAAACGAGCCTGCAGAGGGAGGTTTAACAGTGTCAACAAATCGCTAACCTCATGAATGAAGTTCTCCACTTTGGTTTGCAGCCCCCACCACTTAAACTTGACTGTGACCAGTTTGTAGGCACACATCCTTGGGCACTCAGTTTTATTCACCAACTCTTTCTGTTGCAAGAAAAACAAAAGAATTAGACTTTTTAAAAGCACATAAATCCAGTAGAAACCTGACAAACTTTTCAATAAGAAATGATAAAAAAGTAGCACAAGGTTAAAAGAGTACTATTTTAGACTAATTTTGGATGCATGCATCCAAAGCTAAAATTCCTTAATAAATAATGCTTTGAGTGTGGAGCTTGCTAAAATAATTATCAATACGATGATGTGCTGCGAATAGATAAAAGTGCCCTAATCTACAACACACTTTCTAAATCCATCCTCTGCTGCTTGCTCTGTGCCTCACTCAGAAGAAAAGACGTGGAGGAGGGGGTTGGGGCACGGCAAAGTGGATAAACTCCAGATGAAGGGACCATTTCTCTGCTTCCGCCCCGACAGCGACACCGCTCCCGACAGGCATGCCTTTGTGGCCACGGAAGGCAGATAAAACGGTGCTCGTGAAGCGATAAGGGCGTCACGGTGCAAAGCCGGTTACATTATTAACACCTAGGACCTGCTCGCCCCCAGAACACAAATACTCTCCCTCCGAGAACACCTGTTTAATTAATCACTTCATTCTGGCTCAGCATTTCAAGAGAAAATGCCACAGACCCGCCTCAATCACCCTCATCCCACAGCCGTTTGATGCTCCGATCACGAAGAAGAGCGAGGGGTGGGGGGTGAGCAACATTTCTAAATTTGCAGTGGGTTTAGAAAAGTTGTCATCGCTAAAGGAGAACTTCACATAAAACGGATTCTACATCAAAACACTTACGGTGACATTTCTTCTCTCCCTCTCTGTGCCCCACTCAAAGGAGCAGAAGTTTTCAGAAACACAAAGGCTTCCGATATGCAAGCATGTGTGCATGCAGAGATAGACAAGAGTTTTATTGCTCTGAGAAGCTGGCAGAAATTGTGCCTCTGTTGTCACATAACTACTCCCCCCCCCACCTTTTTAATAAAACAGTTTTCCATGTCCACCGCAGACAGGAAAGTGATCTAATTAAAACACAAAATAAAAGTTGCTCCTATTTATTCAGACTTTTTAAAGCGTTTAGGCAGCCTTTGTTCTGTGAAAAATTCTTGCAACAGAGGAAAGTTTCCCATGGTGAACTTAAAGGGTTCCTCTGCAGAACAGAAATTCTTGGTGCTCAAACAGCAAGCATGACCAGTTTGAGACTGCAGCAGTTCAAGAAGGAAATCGGCTACATGCCTCTGTGCATGAAATACTTGGTCCATGTTGACATTTAACCTTTGACTCAGAAATAGGCCAGTTTAACACAGAACCAACACCCATCTCTGGCCCTGGGTTCCACCACCATTTAATTACAAGAAAGAATTGTATTTGTACTCAACTGATCTACATATTTATTCTTTTTGAAGTATTTATCTTCTTCTCTTGTGTAAAAATGTCCAACAAACCAAAAATGGACTCTTTCTTTCCAACAGTTAGATAGTTTTTCATTTCCTACTAACATTGGGTTTCTTACAATGTTTGAGCGCAGCGCCTCATAACCCAGCCACCCATTCCTGAAGCTTTTAAGGCCATTATACAAAAAAATGACAACCGGAAAATCACAATTTTCACATTTATTCTGAGGTGTTTAAAGCACTGTTGGCTTCATCTGATCGCATTATGCAAGGGGGGGGGGGGGGGGGGGAGAAGTAAACTCAGTACTCAGTGAGTACATTCAACTTGTAACAGTTGGTCAATGAATATTATTATGAATATTATCTTCCATATGTTCCTGCCCTCAGCTGTTCCAACCATTTGCTAACATAACCTTGAATTAGTATTTAGCACTTTAAAATATACATTTTTTTTATTCACTTAAAATATTTATCTTTAATTTATTATTTATTCATGTGTAATGATTAAGGTTTGCACTTATGCAAGCAATGGTTAATAAAAGATTGGTTGGTTTTTTCATACTTACTGTTGCTGCCTTTGTTCTCTGAGTAATATCACTTGATCAAGCCTTTCATACATCCCACACTACAAAATAGGCAAAAGTAAGTATGATTTGTGCTGATATATCGGATCAGTATTGGTATCGGTCATTACTGAAGGCTGCAATATTGGTATCGTATCGGAAGTGAAAATATATTGCACAGATCATTTAGCAGGTGACTAGCATCAACTCATCCCCCCCAATCTTAAAGGTCCTGTGCAATAAATCAAACACACATTTAATTACCTTCCAGTTGGGTCCAAGAGGTCCTCTACCAGTTTTAACCGACTTGAAGATGGCTGGATCCTCATCTGGCTTGTAGTCCTAATGAGAAAAATATTTGTTTAATTAAACTGAAAGCTAAAAGAAGAAGAAGAAGAAAAAAAGATTGAACTGAGCTCATCAGAAGCTAACCCATTTATAAAATATTGGACTACTGGCGCTGCAACAGGCAAACATTTATTCATACATAACAGAGTTAAGATCAGGTACACGTGTCGTAATAAAAAAATGATCTAACGATGGTGAATCCCACTGCAGACGCATGAATCTGTTTCACATCAAGTCATTGATGTTTTTAGCTCCACCTAAAATGTATGTGTGCAGTGCGTCTCATCATGCCCCTCCAAAACCACTTATGCCTCATTACGCAGGTCGGTTATGCTTCTAGGCAAAAAGACCAAATACTTATGGAAGAACGTGGGACACGTGCAGAAACCTGACGTCACAAAAACAGGCCAGAGAAATAGTTACACAAAGAAATGAAATGATCAGCAACTCAAGGGCCCAGTAATTTTAAATAAATCATGATATGCCTGCAGCTAAAAGCTCCCTTTTCAGGGCTACTGGCCACCAGGAGGGTGGCAAACACACACACACACACGAATTTGGCTGCATTAATGCTCAGAGCTCCATCACTATAACAATACACTGTGCGGCACTAATGAGGTCTGTGAATCGATGTGCCGTTGAACACGAAGAGGAGCAACTCCTCCAGTAAAGAGAGTGTGTGTTATGGTGTGTATGTGTCTAGTTCCAGCAGCACAGTGAGCTTTAATTACGCTAACAAACTCATCTGTGCTGGCGGTACGCCCCAGGCCCTGCAGTCATGCCCGAGGCTGAGGGCTGATGGGGCCCTGAGACACAACACACTCCTCCAGCAAGGCAAACACGTCCGCCTTGTTAACTACCTACAGCAAACAAACATGTACACACACACGCCATCAAATAGCCACCCATTTAATTGTATACACAGAAAGCAGCACGGAAATGAGGCAATGAGAAGTCGAATAATAGCAATAACGTGCAACATCTTCAAATAGGATTTCAGAACGCAAAACGTCAAGCTTGTTTATTTTTGGTATTTAGAATTATGCACAAACTCTGAGCCTGAAACTAATTTCAAGATGCTGAAACTTATTTAACTGCAGAATCTTGATACATCTTGCTGATAAACTGTCAGAAAAGCAAATAGATGAGTTAAAAAAAAAACAGAAATTGTTTTCTTTTCCAGTTGAGATTACCTCAGATAGCAGCCCTGAGGGCTGCGGTTGTGTTATCCAAAGCTATTTTTAATCAGAAAACCTAGTTTACCATTGCCTGTGTGTAATTACCAATATTAACATTTCTATGTTAAATAACCAGGAAATACTAATAAGAATGAGTAAAAAACCTTAATTAGTAGTTTTATTACATTACATTAATTTTTAACTTCTCTCGACTAATTCTGAACAGGATCAGAGGTTTTCTCCCACACTGTAAATGACCACGCTCCAACTTCACACGCCCGTGTTTTCCCATGAGAGTTTTGCTCTCAGACTGCAGGCTCAGTTGTGGTTTTCGGGGTTTCTAAAAGTAGAATGGGAGGCAAAGTTTTCAGCGATTAAGCTCTTCTTGTAGAACCAGCTTCTAGCTCGACTTTAGGAGACAAACACCGTCTTCGATTCTAGAGCCAGGCTTAAAAGGCTGTTTTCTGATCTGGTTTTTCTGCTTCAGGCCTGGGCTGCTGCAGGACATGCGGACCACCTGTCCTCACTCAGCTGTTAATTCTGTGCATTGTTTTTCCACTTTTCTCAACAGCAGGTATCCTAGACTTGTGCTTCCTTGCTCACTTGTTTCCATTTCCTGTCGTCACCATCTCTGTTGGAGATACCTTCCTGTTAAATAAACACTTGTCCTCTTCCTGTGCTGAACAACAGGGAACGAACTGATGCAAAAATGTTTTGAAATCCACTCGTTACCTTAGAAATCCAAGTTTTTCCCAACTGGTGCATGTTAGTTATTACTATGCTGATTTAAATGTATTAAATTGGACTTTACTGAAGTAGTTTAAACATTATTTAAAAGGATTAGAATTAGCTTTGAGATGGCACAAAAAATAAACCTGAACTGAAATAAAGGTTTTAAGCATTTTGATTCTGACATTTTAAATAAAATTTATGATATAATAATAATTTTATTTGTTTATTTCATTTTCCATCTTTTAAACAAACAACTGTAACCACTGAAAACAAAATATATCCATGTCTTTGTCCAGATTTTTTTCAGTCACAGAATACTTTGGTCATTTGCTCAAAAATAAATAAAATACTTCAAAAACTTTTAACATAAAACTATTAGAAAGTAGGGTTGTCACGGTGTGAAAATTCAACCTCACGGTTATTGTGACCAAAATTATCACGGTTTTCGGCATTATCGCGGTATTTTTTTAAACGTGCTACATTTTCACACAATTAAATAAACCCTGTATATCAGGAAAATATTGTCCTCAGTTTGTGTCTAAATTTTGCCTAAAATGTGTTATTTTGTAATTATGTTGTTTATTTGTTTACATATTTCCCCTTTAGTCTTTAAAATACCAATATTTGCCCATAACTTATTTTTTGTCTGTTTGATGTCATCATTTAAAAAATATTAGATCAGATGATACTCAGTACTCAAGTAGCCTTCTAATCAGATACTTTTTTACCCTTACTTGAGTAATAAACCCTATATCAGGAAAATATTGTCCTCGGTTTGTGTCCTTCCAGTGAGCTTTGCAGATGTGGGAAAATGTCATCAGGCAGTAATCATTGTTAAATTCATAATTATTCTCTCAGAGAGAGACCAACTCTTATCTGCCCCTGGGAGCCCCGTAATGCACAGCGTCATTTCAACATGGCGGTGTCCGCGACACGGTTTATATGCAGGTAGCAGGCGCTGCGGCTGCTTTATATAGCGACTCGTTGCATTCTCCCTCAACCCAAATCCTCGGATCACGCATGTTAGCTAAAACGCTAACGTTAGCTTGCCTTGCGTTGACTGTAGAGTTGTGGGTGATGGTCACGCAGATGTGTCATGAGATTTGAAGCGTTGCTGCCTTTCACAGACACTTTTTCTGCACGTGCTGCAAACAGGATAGCCGTCTTCTATCAACTGTCCCTCGCCATTCTTCAAATATCCAAAACATGCCCATACTTCCGACTTTGTCTTCCTTGAGGGATAATAAATGTCCTCCTGAGCGCTGTCGTCTCCTCCTTTGGCCATTATTTCAGCTTTAGCTTCAAGAAAGTTTTGGTTTAAACATCTAAGTGCGCGTGTGCCGCCAGCAACTTCTGCAGATGATACGGTGGCTGGTAAGGGTCACTGCGCCTACACCGCAGCCATGGTAACCCACCGAGATAATATATGTTTTAAAAAACAAGACAGTTATTATTATTGTCAACTTTTTTACCGGGGTTTACCGCTACACCGGTTACCGTGACAACCTTATTAGAAAGATAAATAAACACGCATATCCCCAGACAGTCAAACAGGAAATAAACCAGAAGAAACTTACAGCAGCAGAAACTTGACTCCTATCTGCAATGTCAATGGGCACGACCGCTACGTTCTGCCATGTAGAACTGTCTAGTTTGTGCACCTAAAACACACACACACACACACACACACACACACACACACACACACACACACACACACACACACACACACACACACACACACACGTAAAGTTACATGTATTAACCACATCAGACATTTTTGCTTTAGCTATAAGCTGCTGTAAGATGAACTGATGCTACATAAATCAGATGAACAGAATCAATGGCGAAGGGCTCACGTTTTCTTGTGTTCCCAGGTCAGGTTTGTGCCACGTTTCAATTTTAATGAAGAAACTGTCTTTCATGTATTCGTTCTAGGAAGAAAGGAACAGAAAAGTCAATGTGAAACGGAACACTTTAAACTTTAGCGTTTCTAAGTAAAAAAGGAAGGCTGCATACCGTCACGACTGGAGTGGGTTTTGTTATGAGGAAGAAAAAGAAATGAAAACAAGTTAAAAACATGTTTTAAACACTGAACATAATGATTTTATCAAAACAAAGACAAAACATTTGACCACACTAAAAGAGCTGAGCTTTAAGGGAAAAGCGACAGGGTGGAGGACTCACTGGTTCGGCAGTAGGGGTAGGCATTCCAAGCTTTTTCATGGAATACCAAAGAGCCTTCAGGGGCCAGGAGCCTGACAAACGCTGGAACTTTACTGGAATTTAGGGATAAAAGAAGCAAAAAGAGAGAAAAAAAAGAAAGCATAGCTTCAGTTTAATGTGGTTCCAAAGCAAAGACAACAGGAAACAGACAGGCATGTTTCAGGCTTCAACAATGAAACAACACTGCCCCTGTGTGGTCGTCCTGTGTCACTACACCCAGCTAAGTAGGAAGGCAGGAGTTGAGTCAGTACAAACCTGTTTAGATGGTAGATTTTGTGTGTATACTGTCCTTTCTCTCCATCCTTTTCATAAGGCTCATTCTTGAGCACCTCAATGCCTTCACCACCACCCGTCTCATTTTTACTGGCTTCAGCCACAGAGAAGAGCTGCCCGACTTGATACTGCAACACAAACAGAAAGTTAGTGTCTAAAAGGTCATGTTCTACTAAAGTCTGTTTATAGTTTGATCTTTGCATTTGTCTATTCTCCTGTAGTTTAATCCACATATTCAAATGAAAACTATTAAGAAACTGCAAAAAATAAAATAAAAAAATAAAAAAGGTCACATCTGTGACTGTTGTGATGTTACAAACATTTAATTCTGAAGTTTAAGTCGATTCACTCGGTACAACAAAGGTACTATGGGACATCGCGCCCTTGTTTGGCCTGGCTGAAGACACATCGAATCACTCCTGGAAAGCTTAAGAACTGAGAAATGCCAGTGACGCCAGGTGGTTGCCCCGCCCTCTACCTACAAGCCCCCGGTGTCACTGGCATTTCTCAGTTCTTAAGCTTGGTTTATGCTTGACACGTGTACATTCTGCGTGGATGGAATGCACATCGGAGATTGCAGCATTTATGATTTCTTCCTACCTTCTGCAGCTTGTCTGCGCTGTGAGCCAATATTCTCCATTTGGGCTCTGCAACAGGCATTCAACACTACACCACAGTAAAAGTATAAATTACTGTTTACAACTTTTTTTCCCTGTGTCCTCATCTTTTCCGACAGTGACAACAATTATTAACAATATTTTCATCACGGTGATCTTTATGGGCCAAACCATAAAGATGTCTGTACTTACAAAACTCCGCCACTACGAGCTCTGGCCAGTCCTACACATTAATCCGCGCAGGAACATCCGCGTGTGTGTCTCGCCATGAGCACTGTGTTGGACTCTGCTAGGCAAAAGTCTGCTTTGCGCCTTGTCCTCAGGGCTGTGGGGTTTTCTCCACGAGAAGCACCTGCACGAAGCCTGTCCTGCCTGTCAACTCTTCATGACAACAAAGTACTCTCAGACCCAGAGGCGTGCAAGTTCTGTCGCCAGCTCAGTTTCCCCACGCTCGATTGGCGTGTGAACTTCCTCCAACGTGTCCTTGAGGACGATGCGAGTTCGTAGTAGGACCCCATGCTTTCTGAGTCGGCTCCTGTGTCTTTGCACAGTTCAGACACTTTGCACAGTGGACTGGCCAGCTCCTGTCTGCCCAAATTAGGTCCCATTTTGTTGGTTTTTATCTCCCCACCGAATCGGCAGAGGTCAAAGACTTAATACCACCTTTCCCGAACTTCACGGTCGAGCTTGCCTTGTCCTGGGGGAAGCCATGATCCACCCACGCCATGATGTTGGGCTGTGGGCAGTTTGTGGACCTTGACGGTGCCGAAAAGTTGGGGTTTGTGAACCTTTCCCCTATGAAACCCTCACTGGCAGCTTATTTGGCCATGACCGGTAACAATGGGGTGAGTGGACCTGCTGTTTTACCCTCTATACAGGGCAGGTTTTCCACAGCACAGCTGGAGGTTTAACTGGGCACACAGGCAACCCTCACACTCAGTTCTGCGACCATGCTGCAGACCTGCTTAGCAATGTAATTGGCGGACCTTGGAGCTCTGGTCCCATTCGGAAGCTCGCTCATGACCCTCATCAACCTGATGTGAAACCCAAGATGCTTAGAACTGTTAACTTATTCACAGCTAAACGTTTCCTGATCAGAAAAGCTCTTTGCTGCCAGCGTTTTTCAGTGTTTTTACAGTTTTTTACGGTGCAGGGGCTCATTCTGACACCCACACAATAAAACAATGCAAATGATGACTTTAGTCGTCATTGGCAGTGAATGAGTTAAACGAGCCATCATCTCGTCTCTCCTGCCTCTGACGGCAGTGTCGCCAGGGGCAGTGGTGAGCCCCATTGCTGGTTGATGACCTCAGCCCTTACGTCCCAGTGAGTCTGTCTGGAGAAAGGTCCCTCCTGCAGACTCACAGGAACACTCTGTGAACCGTAAAAAGAAGACTCAGTCATCCTTATCTCAGGACCAAGATTGTTCAGAACTTGGACTCTACTGGACTTCCAAGCTTCAGTTTTCAGTGGGTGAAACTGCCATGCTTGGTTGCCATTCAACCCTCCTGCATTTCAAATTGGTCACATAAAGCAATGGCGTAATTTTCGACACAACTCCTGTCTGCAAATAACTTCAAACAAAGCAGGGGTGGCCTGTATCTGGTGGCCATTTCTGCTTGACATGAGTCTTTTAACAGGGTTTCCCTGTGGGCTCACTAACTTTATGGTTCTTGAAGGAAGTTTACAAGCTGAGGCCTGACTTCCTGTCCCTCTTTAGGACTTCATTTTGGTTCTAGATGCCCTCTGTGGTCCTCCATTTGAGCCAGCTGAGTGAGTTGACATGAAGTTCTTGTCTTAAAAGACAGCCCTGCTCTTAGCCCTGGCATCGACTAAGCGGGTGTAGGATATTTATGCTCTTTTGGTTCATCTCGCTGACCTAAGGTTCTTTGACCATAGAGCTTTCGCCTTTTCAATCGGCCTCCTTTTGCCTCTGAGGAGCATGGTCTGCGCCCGGTTTGTGCTCCACAGGCTTATGTGGACTCAGATTTTCCAACTGTCAGACGAGTGATTTGTGTTTCACCAATCCCTCCAAGAGTAAAGCATTGTTGAGGCAAAGACTTTCTCAGACCATGGAGGCCGTTTCCCTGTGTTACAGTGTTAATTGCCCTCAGATGCACTAAGAGATCATAGTGGACTCTACTAAAGGTGTGGCCACTTCAGGGGCGCTGTTTTTAGGGCGTTTCAGTTGGTGACATTTGCTCGGCTGCTAGCTGGGCTGCACCCCACACTTTTGTGAGGTTTTACCATCTGGATTTCCTGGCCCCTTCGGTAGCTTATGAAGTTCTTTCTGTTGGGTCTGAGTTGCCATCTTAGATTGTGTTGTAGGCCCAGGTTTGATAGCTGTTCATGGAGCATTTTTATATGTCCCATAGTACCTTTGTTGTACCGAGTGAATCTGTAAATTTAGGTTATGCATATAACCATTGTTCCCTGAAGCAGAGGAATGAGGTACAACTCAGGGCTGCCCCCTTCGAAGCCTAGCTCGGTGAAGCGTGGCTATTGAACTTAGAAATGTCGCTGACACCGGGGGCTTGTAGGTGGAGCCACCACCCAGCATCACTCTCATTTGCCTTTACAGGCATGATTAGATGAGTTTTCCGCCAGGCCACACAAGGGAGTGATGTCTCATAGTACCTTTGTTGTACCTCGTTCCTCTCCTTCAGGGAACAGTGGTTATATGCATAACCTAACATTTTTAGTGAGTTGCTTTGCTGCATTTTTCTGTTATGGCATCCATCATTTAAATTTTTGAAAGTGAAAAGAAAACAGGCTAAAAATCTTGAAGTAAAAAAAAAAAAAAAAAAGTAAACATTTCCTGTTCATGCAAAGCTCTACATGAAATGACCCAGATTAAAGATTTAAGACCCATAGTTGTCGCACACATTGGTGTGGTGTGGTGAAAATTGTCCTCCGCATTTGACCCATCCCCATGGGGAACGGTAAGCTGCAGCTGTTGCCGCGCTTGGGAACTATTTGGAGGTTTAACCCCCCAATCCATCCCCTTAAAGCTGAGTGTCAAGCAGGGAGGCATTGGGTCCTATATTTTAGAAAGTCTTTGGTATGACCCGACTGGGATTTGAACTGCGATCTCCCAGTGACACCCTACCATTAGGTCACTGAGCTGGTTCTCTCATTTGGGGCCATGGGAGAAAATGGTTGTTTTCTAAATACTAAGACGAGGACATTCGGTGACGCCTAAGATCAGGGTATCTGCAGGTTTAAGGGAGCCAAATTTAAGACTTTTTAAGACCTTTTTAGGCCACTTAGACCAAATTTAAGCTACTTTTAAAATTTAAGCTATTATTTCCAGTGCTAACCACGTCGCGAACGTAGGATTAGCCATCCAGTTACCATTAAACTTGCCCTTCCCCATGGCGCAAGCTCCCACTAGCTTAACCAGCTAATGAGCTCATCTAAAAATAGCCCCATTTCACAACCAACTGAATGTGTATGGTTCTGCTTACGCCAATATCATACACAAAAAATGCTGAAGACTAACTAGAAATTGAGGAAAACAAAAGGATCTTGTTTATTGGGTTTTTGGTAATTTAAGACCTTTGGAAACTGTATTTAAGGATTATTTGTCATTTTTAAGGATTTTTAAGGCCTTAAATTTGGAAAAGCTAATTTAAGACTTTTTAAGACTTTTTAAGGACCCTTGGATACCCTGTAAGATATAACCTTTATTTAGCATGAATAAAATAATGTTCTGTTTTTGAAATTTCATTCCGAATGACAGGGGTATTTTTGTCCGATCATTAGAGCTGTAGCGAAGCGTCGATGGCGTCCGACAGCTCAATTCTAAAAATTTGTCGACGTCAGATCCGGTAGTGGACTCACCACGCCCACTTGTTGGATCTCCAGGAGTTTGTAAATAGAGGAGGAATCTGTCTGTTTGTCCTCTAGTTCGCCCTCTTCTCCGCCTTCACTAACATCTCCGCCAAATATCAAAGAACCGAAACAATGCCCGTCCGCAACTAGATTCCTTTTCTTGTTTTGCCTGCCTTCGTCTCCCGGCAACGAGCAACAATTTCCGGGGTGAAAAGCGCTGCTTCGTGTCTACCGCAGATGTAGAAAATCACCGGGAGCGCTTCTCACTTCATAAAGGAGCTTCTTTCAGACATTAGGAGAGCTGTTTTTGTGGTATCAGTCTCTCCTCCATGCTGGTCTGTTTGCTGCTGGGTATTTTTGTTCATTTAAACTTGGTAACTTGAACTTAACGTTGGTAAAGCTACTGTTAGCATCTTCGCTAACAGCTTCTTGCGTTGGGATAAGCTGTTATGTTTTGGTTTAGAGTTCATCTTTTTTTGTGGTGTAGATCTCCCTTTTATTACATTTAGAGTGCTGTGGGTTTTCGGTTTAGTTTAAAATGTCACCTTGAGTTTGGTTTAACCACCTAGTTTAGAGTTTGGACCTTTGGTGATTCTTATTTTGGTCCAGAACCCAGTAATCTTTGCCCTGCGGGACATCCCTACTTATTTGTACTTTTGTTTTAATTCCCCACAGGCAGAATTAGTTTTATTATTCCCAACCTGTGGATGGAAAGATTTATGTTTTTTTGTAGTTGTAAATAAACCTGATCATCATTTTAACTTTTAAATCCCGTTATTGTCCCTTCCTTTTTGCACACAAGCCAAACTCCCCAGGAAGGATCGTAACACCACTCGCCTCACGCACATAAGTGACCAAAACAAAGCAGCATGGAGACACTCCGTCTCCAACCACCTCTCAGGCAGCAGCCTGCTCTCCCAAGTTCTACACGTCACCAGAACATAACCAACCTCAACACAATAAAAGCAGTGTCATACAAAATGGAAGGTCTGTAGTGTTTATTCTCTTACAGTAACAATTTATCAATTTTTAGAGGAATTTATTTTAGATTTTCTTGTTTTTATTAATTGTGCAATAAAAAATACTCACTAGATTAACCGTCTAAATAGTCATTAGAATAGTCGACTATTCGATAAAATAATCGTCAGAATAATCATTTTAAAAATAATCGTTTACCCCAGCCCTACCGATCATCGTTCCAATTTACGTCCATGTACACATCTATTTGGACTGGAATAAAATAATGCCCACTACACATGTGTGCAATATAGTATTAGCCAGTGAGCCTCCCCGTCGTCATTTGGATGGCCTGACGTCAAAAACGATGACCTAATAAATGGCAAGCCGTCCCCGTTTGATCCAGATCGATCTGATCCAGAACTTGCATATTGTGGAAGTAAAGTAAAAATCTGATTATTGCACAGATCATTCGACAAACATGTTCAAGTCTGCACTGGATACATGCATACTGATTGTGGGGGCTGCAGCGTGGATCCCCATTTCCGTCGACTTTGAACGCAGCAGCTGCTTCTGCAGCAGGTGGATGGAGATCATGTGCTTGTAAAGAAGACAGGGTAACATCAGTGTTATAGTCCTGGTTTGAGTTCAAGGAGGCCGATGTTGAGTAAAAAAACATCCTCAGTTAAATATTCTGAGCGACAATATAGTCCTACCTGTGTTAGAGGCACGTTAACGCAGATGAGATGTGGTTCGTTTATTAACACACGATGAACACAGACTTCCAAACTTTCTGAACATCTCCTGTTATTTTGTTTGAACCAATTTTTTTTCAACAGTTTCAGCTGATTGTCACTAGGGCTGCAACAAACGATTATTTGGATAATCGATTAATCGGATGGGGTCTCGACACGATTAATCGATTAATCGGATTACATGGGGAAATTTTTAAAAACTGCTAGGGAAACGTTATTTCTCTCCTTCCTTCACTTTATTTAACACAACATTATTAGAAAACAGTTCAATAGCAGAAAAACAACATGCCATCACCTAAATTGTCTTATAAGGTGTATAGACAGAGACCCTAAGCTACATCTATCTGACCGAAAATGCTTGGTCCAAGTTTAACAGCTTAAGGGCAATTCTCATCTGTTTTGTTTGATCTCATCTGTTGACATTTATTTTAAATGTAATTAAACATAGGCTGTGAATTAATCAAAATTGATCACTATTTCCAAAAATGACTGAAAAAATACCAAATAAAACAAAAGTAAATGAATGCCATTCTCCTTGCGATGATGCCCTGGGCAACTGCCATAAAGTCACATCAAGAAATGCTGCTGATCATTCCAATGATCCCAAATAGACTCACATTAGGCCACATGAAAGCAACTGAACCCAAAAATCTGTGTAATCTGTGACCTAAAATGCTTGGTCCAATTAAACAGCTTAAGGGCAATTCTCATCTGTTTTGTTTGATCTCATCTGTTGACATTTATTATAACTGGGGATGTCAAACAACTAATTTTTAAATGTAATTAAACATAGGCTGTGAATTAATCAAAATTGATCACTATTTCCAAAAATGACTGAAAAAATAAGTTGTCACACACTCCATGGAAACTTTCAGATAATCCACAAATAGTGGCTTTCAAATGGTTTTGTTACTTTTTGCAAGTTTAGAAAAGAAGCTGATGAGACAGCATGTCTGATAATTTAGTTTTTCATCTGATATATTAGAACATGTCAGTAATGTCTGAGGGGCTTTTACAAACACTGTATAACTAACACTACTGGAGAGGGCATGAATTACACAGAGGCTTCTGGGGAGCCCAGTTATGGGGGGGGGGGGGGGGGGGGGGAAGACATTTTGCCTTGGCCCCCAAAATGTCTTGAAACGGCCCTGGGTGTGTGACTGAGTTTTGAAGGTGATCTGAATTGTATCAGATGTATAACTATGACATGTGTATAACTTATTGTTTTTTACTGGTAAAAACGTGTAGTGGAGATAAATCTACCTACATTTTACTTTGTTTTCTTGTTTTTATTTAACTATTTTCCTGTCCTGTCTGTCTCTCATCTTCCTGCATCTCCTCATAATTCTCCAGAAAATCTGTTGCCTGGATTCTTACTTTTTCACCTCATCAGTTACTTTTGAGCAGATCAAAGAGATCTCCTGACCGCAAAGCGGAGAGCGCGTTTTCGATGCTCCGTGAGGTGAAATCACCGCAGCACAGGTGATGAGCTCCGCAGCAGAGCGCTTCAGGCACAAATAAGACAGAAAATAGAGAACATGTGCAGACAAGAACGATCGTGTGCTAATTATAGTTTTTTGGTTGCGCCACTTTGAGAATGGACCGTGCGCTGGAAGCAGCTGCCTGGATCGCTGTGCAACAATGCGGAACCGGTTCGCAGCAGCGCAAGTCTGCAGGCTCTCCCTCGCGCTGATCTGCCTGTACCGGCTCTCCCTCGCGCTGATCTGCGGCTCTCCCTCGCGCTGATCTGACTTGCTCTGGTCTGCGCGCAACGGTGGGCGGGAAGGGGGGGTGGGGGGGTGGGGTGGGCGCTTTTGGAAGAGTTGTGCGACACAACGAATCGATGACGCAATTCGTTGCCAACGCTTTTAGTAATCGATTTTCATCAAATTCATCGATTCGTTGTTGCAGCCCTAATTGTCACATTTTATTAATAAGCCACAACAGAGCTCAGTAATAAAACATGAGTCCAAATCCCCCCATCCGCCTTCTGCCCAGAGCTGCGCACAGTCGTCACATCAGATCAGCTAATCAAGAGGCACAGACAAGGATATCTCTCCCTTATTTTAATATTGTTAACAATAAAACACAGCAAAGAATAAATCTGCAGTTATTCGCTGAAGAAAACGTAACTTCGACGAGGAAAATGAAAACATCAAATTGATTCAATGAATCAGGAAAGCGGAAAGAATCATTATTTCTGTTTTTACATTTTCATTTCGTTTTATGCCGTTTGTTTACAAATTTTTTTCCAGGAAAGACCAATCACAACATATTTAATCTGATTGAAATTTTGGTGCATATACTCTGCATGATCGGATCATTTCAGTTAGTGTTCATGTAAACAGAGATTTGAGATTTCTGATCAGCCAAAATTTGATTCGGATTGGGGAAATTTGACACATGTAAATGTAGGTAATCAGTTTTATTTCTGTAGTTTTAAGCTACCATAATAACAAAAACAACAATGACTTACCTCTTCTACGCTACAAGGTAAAACCACACGGCTGCAAAAAGAAAGGAGAATAACGTGCGTTAACACCAAGGTTCTCACATCTCTGACAGCAAAAGAAAGTCATAATTGACATAAATTACTTTGGTAAATTATCTGACAGGATAAAAAACACAATCATACAACTATGATTTGGGTCTGCCATGTTTTTTTTTAGCACATATTATGTTCAGAAGCTCACTTTGCTTCAACAAGGTTCCTGACTACAACGTTTTTGAATACAACTGGATTTTGTTTGGGAAGAATTGCACCAAACTGTCAACTGAAATGTTGTAAATGTCACATTCAAATTAGTCCGCAATTACCGAGAAGTCAATTTATTTGAAAATGGAGCCATAATAATAGATTCAACTTCACTAAAAGGTTAAATAACTAATGAATTAACATGAATGTGTCATCTCATCCCTGGAAAGGTCTTCTCCAAGGTACTGGAGAGGAGGGTCCGATCGATAGTTGAATCTCAGATTGAGGAGGAGCAATGTGGTTTTTGTCCTGGCCGTGGAACTGTGGACCAGCTCTATATCCTTGCAAGGGTGATAGAGGGGGCATGGGAGTTTGCCCAACCAATCCACATGTGTTTTGTGGATTTGGAGAAGGCTTATGGCCGTGTCCCCAGGGGCACCCTGTGGAGGACGCTCCAGGAGTATGGGGTGGGTGGCCTTTTGTTAAGGGCCATTCAGTTCCTTTACCAGAGGAGCGTGAGTTTGGTCCGCATAGCCGGTAGTAAGTCGGACCTGTTCCCAGTGAGGGTTGGACTCCGCCAGGGCTGCCCTTTGTCACCGGTTCTGTTCATTACCTTTATGGACAGAATTTCTAGGTGCAGCCGTGGTGTGGAGTGTGTCCAGTTTGGTGGCAGGAGAATCTCATCTCTGCTTTTTGCGGATGATGTGGTCCTCCTAGCTTCATCCAGCTCTGACCTTCAGCTCATGCTGGGTAGGTTCACGGCCGAGTGTGAAGCGGCTGGGATGAGGATCAGCACCTCCAAATCTGAGACCATGGTTCTCGACCGGAAAAGGGTGGCTTGCCAACTCTGGGTTGGGGGAGAGGTCCTACCTCAAGTGGAGGAGTTTAAGTATCTCGGGGTCTTGTTCACGAGTGAGGGTAGGAGGGATCGGGAGATCGACAGGCGGATTGGTTCGGCGTCTGCAGTGATGCGGATGCTGAGCCGATCTGTCTGGTGAAGAGGGAGCTGAGCCAGAAAGCCAGGCTCTCGATTTACCGGTCGATCTACGTCCCAATCCTCACCTATGGTGATGAGCTTTGGGTAATGACCGAAAGAACAAGATCGCGGATACAAGCGGTCAAAATGAGTTTCCTCCCTAGGGTGGCCGGGCTCAGCCTTAGAGATAGGGTGAGGAGCTCGGACATTCGGGAGGGACTCGGGGCAGAACCGCTGCTCCTCCTGATTGAAAGGAGTCAGTTGAGATGATTTAGGCATCTGGTCAGGATGCCTCCACGGGGAGGTGTTTCGGGCATGTCCTGCTGGCAGTAGGCCCCCGGGTCGACCCAGGACACGTTGGAGAGTCTACCTCTCCAATCTGGTCCGGGAACGCCTTGGGGTCCTGCCGGAGGAGCTGGTGGAGGTGGCCGGGGAGAGTACGGTCTGGAGCTCCCTAGCTGGAATGCTGCCCCCGCGACCCGGACCTGGATAAGCGGAGGAAGACGACAACGACGTGTCATCTCAGACCCTCCTCCTCCTTTTAAAATTTTAAAGTTGTAAAAAAATGTCAGTACAGCTGCATTCACAATCAATGATTAAGTTAATACAACAAAACAGTGTTTATAAATCTTGCAATAGGTTTAGAGTCACATTTACAAATAGATCAAACTTATTTATTGTTATTTTAATATTATTTCTTCATCTCTGCACATCCTCATATCTTTATTTGATCCTTACATCTTTAATGTTTTCAGATACTCCAAATCAAACCCGTAGTATCTGTCGACACAGAGAGCCAATCTGATACGGATTAAAATAAAAAAAAAATAAAAATAAGAATGCACCCAAGTTGTCCTGCAAGTTTTATTTAATTATGCGTTTCTGTCGTTTTGTCTTTATGTTATTTCCTTAGTTTATGCGTTAAAAATCATGACTTGTTTATAAAGTACTAGGCTTGGGTGGTATTACCATATTCAGCCGTTGTTAAAAAATAGCAACAGCGTCAGTTCCAATAAGCCCGCCCAGTTGTCAAGCATGGATTAGATTTAACTCTGTACCTTACATCTACAAATCTATAATCACCTTTGTACAGCATCGTTTTAGGATTTCATAATAACTGTGACACAACTGTCTCAGTTTCTGAACATAAAACCAATGAACAGAAACAGTCAGCTGCTAACACAGGAAAGTTTCCAAGTTCAATCTTTCTGAGGAGAAAAAAAACAATTACTGGCCTGTTTGACACACTGCTGACTTCAGCAAGATGAGAAACTCATCACTAAAACTAAATGGGAAAGTCAGAGCCAAGAACATTCAAGGCTGACTAAAACTATGAGTCGCAATAAGGTCAACTTAATGAGATGTGAGGGGAAAGGAAGCAAATGAACCTAACTGAGCATGTTGGGGAGAGACAATGATCAGTAGAAAAGAGTATGAACATTCTAAAGAAGCTTAATAACTGAAAAACCAAAACTAGATGATCTATGGCATAAAATAATTACAGATCTTCTTGTCCTGAAACTGTGTAGAAGAAATGTTGGTACCTACAAGTACTGCATTATTTAAACTGATGAGTCAGAAGTTTCCCTTCTAACCACTCACCATGCAATGCATGCAGATAGCCGATATATAAAAGAATTAGGAAGGCCAAGGCCTCTTTAAATTTAAAGACATGTTTTCTTGTCTGGTGCACTTTTTCCAATTGGTTCTGAGCAGCAGCGATCACTAAAATCTGTATCATGTGGTATTACAACAACAACATAAGTTATAATGAGTGGACTAAAACTGGTCTTTATCCAAACTGGTTTCGGGTAACTGGTCCTGACTGACAACATTAGCTGCAGGTCAACTGTCCTTCACCCGACTCTGATTCTGAATAATATTCACCCTCTGATGATGATATTCACTGAGGAAGAAGGTGACGCTGCTGCTGCGCAGCAACAGAGTCTGTGTGCTTCGTTAGAGTAAACACGCTTCACACCACATGATCCAAAGCTTATTTCACTGTGTTCAGGACATGGTGGGTGTAGAATAGTGCTAATAGTGACAAATGTAGCGGGACTAGGGTTGTCACGGTAACCGGTATAGCGGTAAACCCCGGTAAAAAAGTTGAAAATAAAAATAACCGTCCAGTTTTTAAAAAACTATATTATCTCGGTGGGTTTACCGTGGCCGCGGTTTCAGCGCGGTGACCCTTACCAGCCACCGTCGCTTCAGCTGAAGTTCCCGCGGCGCGCACACGCACTTTTTAGTTTGCAATGGCACCAAAACTTTGAAGCTGAAATAATGGCCGAAGGAGGAGACGGCAGCGCCCAGGACATCCATCAGCCCTCAAAGAAGACTAAATCGGAAGTATGGGCATATTTTGGATTTCTGAAAAACGCTGAGGGACAGTTAATAGAAGACGGCTATCCCGTTTGCAGAACGTGCAGGAAACAAGTGTCTGCAGAAGGCAGCAACACTTCGAATCTCATGGCACATCTGTGTGACGATCACTCACGTCTCCACAGCCAGTGCAAGGTAAGATAACATTAGCATTTTAGCTGAAATGCATGACGTGAGGACTTTTGGTTGAGGGAGAATGCGACGAGTCACTATATACTGCAGCCGCAGCGTCCTCTGCCAGCATTTAAACCGTGTCACGGACACCCTGTTGCTGGATGAAGCATCTTATTTGTTGATGATGAAGAGAAATATACAATTAGTTCCTTGTCATTGATTTGTTTACTTATTCAATGCCATTTATACTTGAACATTTGGATTTGATTACATAGTGTAGTAGTTATTTTAGTAATTTGTTTAAAGTGGCTATTTGTTTTAAATACATTTTTTTTTTAAGGTTGACTTGTACAGTGCTCAAGTCAAGTGTGGACTGGAGTTTTAGATTTTCATTTTGATAATGAAGAAAACAAGTATATGAGAAAACAAGTGGTGTTTCTTTGATTTGTTTACATATTGTTTATGTTTTGAATGTTTGGATTTGTATAATTTAAACCTGCACTGACTACTGTAACATGTTCCAGAAAAGAAGCTATTTGTTCCTTTACTTGTGAAAAGTTGCACTTTTGCTAAGGCTTTGTGTTATTTTAGGTTTAATAAACACTGTTAAACCTTTTCAGAACTATTTCAGTTTGTGTAGAACAGGACTATCAATGCTTTCTGAACATATGCAACACCGTTTAAAAAATACCGCGATAATACCGAAAAACGTGATAATTTTGGTCACAATAACCGTGAGGTTACATTTTCATACCGTGACAACCCTAAGCGGGACTGTAAAAGAAGAAAAAAAAAAGCCAGGCAGACGCGGTAGATGTGAAACCGAAAGTAAATACGTCACATAATTGATATGAATATTCCAGCGTTTGTAATAAAACACCATTAATAAAAGGGGCGAACGATACCTTTGAAATCAGTACACATGTACCGATTTTAAAAAGCAAAGAGCAAGTTGTCAAATGAGGGATGAAATGAAAACGGGATTCAACAGGCTTCACTTGATGGCCTGTTTGGCCATGCTGTTTGGATGATTTTGGTTTCAGACGAAAACCGAAAATGCACTTTTCAGTCAAAAATTTTCCCTAGGTCTTATTGATTCCCGATTCAGACTCTTTCGACAGGCAGGATCCAAAAACATTACATATTTTAAATGGGCCAGCTAACCATAGGTCTTACTTGATGAAATAATCTGAACTTCAACATGAATTTTAATTCTATGAACTAAAACATCACTGTAATTTAAACAGAAATGTGTTTAAGAAAGTAAGAAAAAAAGACTTGCAGCTCAGTGTGTTTGTTTCTGACCACTACCAAAGTATGGGAAATGAAGAAGACTC